AAAAGCAGCTCGCTAGCACTAAACCGGGAGCTGTCGAGTATCTGCGGGGAATAGACAAGAAACATTGGGTTAAATACGCCTTTCAGGAACATTTCAAACTCCCAACATACAACGAAACGGCCTTAAACCTTGCGGAGCAGTCGAACAATTGGATTGGTGACGAATGTCGAAGTGCTAAACCCTTGGAGGTCTTTGGGATTTATTTTAGAAATTTAAGTGAGCTTGTTTCTGACCGACGACAAATGGCTGCAAACTGGCTGACGAAGGCTCCTGGCTCTCAACTCGTCCCCACGCTGTCAGCTGAGCGCAAGAAGCTGGCAATTTTTGGCGGACAATGAAAAGTTACACCGTGTATGGAAGGTGCTTATAACGTGCTGTTCGTCGGTTCCTCTAAGCAACCGGGTTGGGTGCACCCATAGCGTATGGTCAATCTCAGAGTGTACATGCGGTAACTGGCAGGATAATGAATTTCCCTGTGTACACGCCATACCAGCAGCAGTCACTGAAGGTCAGCGTCTGGAGACACTTTACGACGCCAAGCGGCTTTCTATCGACAATTTTCGAGATACGTACATGACTCCGTTTCGACCGTGGCCAACAGACGTCACACTACAAGAAGACACTTCGCTGAAAGTCCCGGTACGTCAATCGGACCCTCCTCAAAGGGGAAAAAGCGTCTTTAAACCAGGCCCAAGACCCATGCACAAGCGTCGAAAGTCAAAACGTGGAGATTAGTGACGGGTTTGAGGCTGCCAGTGGCGACAAAAGACACAAACAAACTTAAGCAATGCATAATACCGGCTTCACTTATACACGGTTATCCCATTATATGCTACAACATTTTTATATGTTACAGAAAATATAGAGGCTACGATGCCGCGAATGACAAGTTGCTGTGTTTTTTTGTTAAAAACCAATAATTTTATTTAAATTTCCTAACTAGTTTGGTTTTTTATCATTAACCCAGGGCAATCCATTTCTAGCTTAAAATGACCTATTTGAGCCATGAATGACAGGGTTTTGTCAGCCATTTACTGACTGCTTTTTCGAGCAAGTCCAGATTTGGAAAATAGTACACCTGCATCATGTAGTAATAGCTGCTATGATGATTATTAATAATATTATGATATTAGATTACTACTATCATAAAATTACTAATACAAGCCGAAACAGTCTAGCGGAGGTCAATAATTGCCTCCCAATCCACCGTAGCTAGATCCTTGGCGCGCCTGAGGTTGTTGGAATTCGTTACCCATACATAACGATGTCCATTCCCCCCACCTTCAATAGTTTCGTCCTCGCCGTTGGTTTTAGCTTCCCCGTTGTCTACCTCGAAGTCTTCCTCATTTAACTCGTACCACCCCACCTTGTCCAACTCTTTTTTGATGGAGTGGACGTTCGTTGAAAAGCGGCTAGCCGCTCTGTGTTTTTCAGCTTGACGGGCAACGGCTTTTGGACCGCACCCTGTCTTTCTCTTCAAGTGTTAGATCAGTTTGTGTTTACTGTTGGAGAGTCTAAGATCAATAGGTCTTTATGGGCGTGGCACCGAACGCTAATCTAGCAAAACATTTCCTCATTTCACAATGATCCGAAAGAAAGATGGAAAATCCCGTGGCTTTATCAAGCAAGGCGTTTGCCTATCAAAGCATATTGTGGCGGCCAGTTGGGTCGATGGCTCAATCGTTAATGTCGTCTCAAATGCCGATGCGGCGTTCACTGTCCCGACTTGTGTTCACGAATACAATTCTGCTATGCAAGGCGTCGACCGACATGATCAGCTGCGTGGGCGATTTTCACTAGCCGACGGGCCTTCGTTTCAAGGTATGGTATACGCAGCAGCAGCACCAAGGCCGACGCAGTCTTTGAATTCTACTGGGGTCGTAACGCCTGTGGGCACGCTACAGACGAAAGAGGCTTGGGTGGTGCTACAGGGGCGAAGTCGGTCAAAGCGCAAATGCACAGTTTACAATTTTGAATGCAGAAGTATCCTGCTCCAAATTTCACTGTAAACTATCTTCATTCCAGTATGGTCGAGCTAAAAAGATACTCCATGTATGCTTTTGATAATGAAAGGGTTAAGATTTCTCATATTGATAGCGTAGCTTCGACACGGCAGATGATGCGGCTGCGAAGCAGGGGCAGGATATGCTTAAGCACAAAGAGTCCCATTTTTTGGACTCGCTACCTCAGATTATGTTGCTACTGTGGTGATGTAAAACTTATTTTTTTAATTTTATTAGGGAAACATTACTACTAAGATATTGCACCCTATTTCCCTAAACTATATTAGCCGTAAACTTACAGCATTCAGTACTGCGTGGGCCATATAGAATTAGCAAAAAATAAATAATATTTTAGCATACAAATTAAAGCTGATTTGAATTCAGGATTATCACATCCGGAAGTTTATCAAAGATCCAAGCGCGCGAAAACAGGGTGCAGTACTGTATTTATAATTACATTCTACTGCTTTATGGATACTGTTTTATAACATTATTATACATGTATTTGAGGCGTGCTGACACTTTTTTCTCTAGACGTGCATTATATGTAGCGGGAACCTATTAATAGTAGACTCCTCTGAGGAAATTTAGATTCATTCGTGTTCTGGCTTCTGTTACCGGCTTCATCTGTTTTGGCAACACACTGCACGGCTTTCCTAGACTACTACTACTATGCAACATATTCTGACCTCCTTGTTTTGGCTTTACCACAAATCTACTCGTCAGCAATGACTGGTACGTTCAGCCCAACAAAGCATTTCAGATATTGCAGCCAACCTTTGCCCAATGGTGGTGGCGAACTACTTGGGGCTTATCGAAACTTGAGGGGTAAATGATCCATCGAGTAGGTGGCAGATTCATGCTGCAACCCTGAAAAATCTATTCAAAGGGGTTCGCAAAAAGGGTTGTTGAGCGTCAACCTCCTTCCAGCAAAAAGAAAACAATGTTTGATATTTTTTAGTAGTGGAGTGGTGAAGTCCAAAGTCTTTAAATGCGAGTCATTTGAAACGTGAGCCTGTGACATGGACGACAATAAGGTAAAAGGGGAACTGTCATATCGAGCCGAAGGCGTCGCTGAATCCGAGCTCTTTACTTTCTCTAGACAAATTAATTAGAGTTTATGTGACTCTAACCATCCGCACTCGGCCGTGTTCGTAATATACCGGTCCCCTCATTTCGTGGACCGATTTGACGAACCACCAGAACCTTATGCGCGTTACAGATTCTCGCTGACATGGTCCAAGCTGTGAACAATACTTACGCGACAAATCCTGAAGTTGATCGAGAAGTTGTTTTGACAAACTGAGAGAAAAACTGCAGCGATGGCATTATGTCTATGACGCACAGTCGTGCCAAGGAAAATGTATCGATTCAGCTCACCTGACTCAATGAGAGCAGCACGACGCCGGATGAGGAGGCGGTTGAGCTAGAGCTTAATAATTTCTGGTGTATTCTCTCGAAGCGGCTGGATGAAGCGAAAACCAAATTCGTGGGTCGTGCACACACTCAAGCACTATCGCAGACAGCTTATGCCACAGTACTACTACAGTAGGACATTTCGTAGATAGTGACTTCTGAAGGACATCGGTCGTTCACGCAGAAGTGACACTAATGTAACTAGGGCGAAACGAAACATTTTTTTAGCACGACACCCGTTGCAGAATTGGATTGAGATAAAGTAAGTGTGTCCTAGTATTCTGTATTGGAGAGCTTTCAACTTTGGCTTGGTAAAACAGAACCTGAATAAAAAAACCTTTCTCTAAATAGCAGTTATTTATAAGATAAACGGATCATAAATCTTTGCCCCCACATCTAATAAGGAATACTTCGAAATCTTTAATAATTATGCCTGGCTATTTGGAAGCTTAAAGATCCCTTTTTTCTGGAGTACGAGATCTAAAATGCGGTAGGCTATTAGAGTTACAGGGTCAAAGATAAAGCATGGTAATGTGTGGTAAAAGCAGTTCTTATTCCCCTGGCTGTCGAATGGTCCGACACGTGTGGTACGCTGTCTAATTTTCACAAACAAGCGTCAGTATTGTCGTTGGCAAGTCGTGTGATTGTCGTCAAATACACATTCCAAGTTGGACTAATTTATGTGATTTGTGCTGTTTAGGACACAGTGCTGTTGTTGCTAAAGTGTTCGTGAAGGGGGCAGGACCTCACAAGTTGTGCTTCGTAGCCGCAACTGTATCGAAAAGGGCATGACATCTAGCCTCTGGACTTCCAGAGCCTGTTGACTCCAGACCTCGAGCCCAGTGTGAAACGCAATGACATTTCGATGTGCAGGATCAATGGTGAAAGGGCCAAGTACTGTCCAGAATGGCAACAAGATGTAGAACTGAATCGATCTGAACGCGCTCCAACATTACCCTTTCGTCAGCTGCGACAACATGATCTCACTCGCGAATTGGACCTCGTTTGGCTCGGATGTCAATACCGGTACCGTGGTAGATCCGAAGAACTTGGATTCTGAGCCGTTCTTTCCTCTCATCAAAAATACGACTGTAATTACTGTCCAAACTTTATCGAAAAGGTGAGGCAGGGGCCTGTCGGTGTCGATGTGTCGAGGATACTTTTCCGCCACAAACTACGGTGGTACTCTCTAGTTAAAAAAGAACTCTTTCTTTTCGTCTGTTTATTGGTCATTAATCACTTTAGACACTACGCTATTGGATAATATTAAGTAACAAATCCCCCGAAAAAAACGATCCGACCTTGGCGACCGGCTCATCTGCGATCTGAACTCTTAAAGGAGTCAGCACGTCAATAGCTCGACAAAAAGCAACAAGGACCGGTATCCGCTACGTGTGTCCAGCGACCATGCTACCTGTAATGTGTTAGTGCCAGAGAGCAAGCGCTAGTTCATTTCGCAGTGCCGACATTCGAGCGCTCGTGCCATTACTGAAAAGAGTCCGTCGATCCAACAAGTCCAGCATTGCCCACGAAGACAGACAACCTCGCTGTCATTTCCACGACAGTATACAGAAGTGAGCGATGGCAGACTCTTCTCAACTCACCGGCGACGGTACCAACACACAGACGACTCGCAATGTGCTGCTCAAGCGTAATCCGCACCTACGCGGCAATGATACGTCGTCCCCGGCGGGATTCGGCGGTCTCGGGACGCGTCAATTCCTTCAGAAGCAGCGCATGACCCCAGGGTCCGCCACTTCAGCGTCCTCATTCGAAGAAGGGGCGTCCTACGACGCATTCTCGGATGCTGGCACGCCTGCGTCCGAGCACAAGAGTCTCACTGTCAAGACGGAGTCTAGCGATGTCACCCGTGCGGGGAACAAGCAGCCGACCAAGAGACTGTCGTCTCCGAGTCGCGAGTCACTTGCGCGACGTTGGGTAGAGACGTCAACTGACGGCGCGAGCAGTATCTTACCTCCCAATGAAATCCTCACCAACGTGGTGGTCAAGACCGTGCCATCCATTGAGATTGGAGGAGATATGTCCACCCAGACGATGGTGCCGCTTTCGCCGAGATCGACGAAAATCACGCGACGTATTGTAACGTCGCCGCGCAAGACAATGCGACGTGTCGTTCTGCGCAAGACGGGAGCAGACGGGAAGGTCCACGAACAAGTTCAGTATGTGGACGCTGACGGACAAGTTGTCCAACAGTCTGGCAATTTTTTCAATGAGACGACAAGTTCTGGACGGACAACTGTCACTACACCAGCAAAAACTGTACGACGAGTGCTAGTCCGTCGAACGGGTGCGGACGGAAAAGTCCACGAAGAAGTCCAGTTCCTTGACGCCGATGGAAACGTCGTACGAACGGAAGGTGGGGAGGCTCCTTCCAGCTCGTCGGGTGCTGTAGTAACCCGTACAGTCGTGACCCCGGGCAAGACAATCCGAAGGGTGATAGTCCGTAGAACTGGCGCAGACGGCCAAGTACATGAAGTAGCGCAGTACTTGGACGCCGATGGGAACGTCGTAGAGACCGACGCTCCAGGCTCGACCTCAAGCACACAATCGAGTCCTCCTACGTCCAACCGGACGACAGTCTCACGTCGTGTCGTTCGACGTATGGCTGTACGTGAGGACGGTACCCAAGTGTCTGTCGAACAAGAAGTAGACGCGGACGGCAATGTCATTGCTGAAACTGGCGCGTTAGTGAGCGCTGGGAGCTTCACGGGTAGTGTAAGCAGTGCGACGAGTGAGACGTCAAGTGGAACAAGTCGACGGGTAACACGTCGCGTAGTGGCGTCCCCCGTTCGTCGCACGGTTGTAAAGAATGGCTCCAGTTCTTCTGGTGCTGAGTCGGAGGAGTTCGCGCAGTATGTAGAGGCAGGAGCTAATGGCTTAACTGTCACGCCAGGCCAGCGTATCGTCACCCGTCGAGTGGTGACGCCGCAGCGTGTGGTGCGACGGATGGTTGTTCCGAAAGTAGCCGTTAAGTCGGGCACAGAAGCTGATGAAGAAGTGGACGGGTTCGTTCAGAGTGGAGAAAGCAGCGACGAGTTCGTTGGTGACTCTAGTCGAGAAGGGTACACTGTATCCGACCGTATCGTTCTTCCTGGCGATGAAAAGCGGCGTGTGGTGTTGCGCATGGCCACAAACCAGAACGTGGTTAGTGACATCGACACTGCCTCAAGTCAGGCTAGTGCTACAATCCAGAGTGAAGAAGATGAAGACTCTTTAAAGAAGATACCATCTTCGGATGAAGAAGACAAGGTGCCAATCCCCTCAACCGCCGCCGAAATTGTTGACGATGATCAAAATTCTTTAAATCCTGTCGCTACGACGGCTGTTCTGGCCGGTTCTGCTGTAGTGGCGTCGTCAATCACCAAGCCTCTCAATGAGGAAGTCAAACCCTCAAAGAGCCCCCACCATGCTCGTCGTGGCAGTGGTGGCTTCTGGGGATTTTTCGGCAAGTCCGACGTTGAGCCCAAGGACGAGTCTACGGCTGCTGTTTCGACTCCAGCTGAAGGAGTTGCAGACGTCCAAGCACCTCGTGTGGAGGTTAGCGAAGATGCTGCTCCTGTTGTGTCTACGTCTGTCGTGGAAGTTCTAGTGCCGTCAAGTGAAGCGAGTGGACCCTCGCTCGTCATTGAGGAAGTGAAACAAGAGCCGATGGAAGCTCGTGACTGCGACGTCGAGCAGCCTCTGCCTGTGTCTGAAACCACGGATGAGGTCCCTGTTACGGTGGGGGCTGTGGTCTCCCCGACGTCCCCGCGTGACAACAGTGCTGTTGCAGCTGCTGCTTTAGTCGAGGGCAATACGGAGGAGACTAGCGAGGCGGAAGAGTCCGAGTCGTTCTCCAAGACTCCGCACCGTGAGGCTGGACGCAGCATTTGGAAGTTCTGGGGGGCCGACAAGCCAAAGTCTCCGCTCAGCGAAGACAAGGAGGCGGACGACAAGGAACTGACGAACGAAACTCGGCAACAAGACACGACCTCGACCTCGTATGCTGTAGCCACGTCAGCACCTGAGTCGATGCCTATTGACGACCAGAGTGCACAGCAGACTATAGTCCAGATAGAGGACGAACTGGAGTCTGGACGTGTCCACCAGGACGCTGTCGCTGCCCCCTCTGTGGACACTGACACAGTTAATGTCACCGAATCTCACTCGGAACATCGTACCGGTTTCTGGCGGTTTTTAGCCACAAAGGACAAGCCGATAGCCAATGGCTCTGTTAGCGGCAGTAAGAGCGTGAGCTGGGCCGTTGAAGAGGACGCGACTATTGTCCACGTCGAGACTGTTCGAAGGAGTCTCCCATCCGATGACACGCCGAATGTCTCGGAGACGGTGGAGTCCACCGAAAAGCTCGTGCGGGAGAGTGAACGTCGCACGACGGAGCTCATGGACGTGGAGCCCGTGGGGCTGGATGCTCACTACGTCGAGGCTATGAGTCCTCGTTCCGGTGGTCGTAGCCTAAACAACGAAGGACTGTGGGCTGTTGAGCCGTGTTCTCTCGCCTGGAACAACGTGAGCTTGAACCGAAGTAACTGGCGGAACAACGAGGCGTCAGATGGCTACAACGAGGCGTCAGATGGCTACAACGAGGCTCTACTTGACGACGTGAGCGGGTCCGTGAGAGCCGGCGAGTTCGTGGTCATCACCGGCCCGTCGAAAGACGAGAGTGTCGCTCTGCTCTCGTGTCTCGCTGGGTTTCAAGACGCCATGGACGGCCACGTGACTGTCAATGGGCGGGAGTGGAACGACCAGATGAGTCGCTACGTCGCGTACGTCCCGCGCGAAGATCTCTTCTACGAGACGTTGACAGTGCACGAACACCTCGTCTTTCAAGCGCAACTGCGTATGCGTCGCACACACACAAACGACATGTGTGTGGCTCGTGTGGAGCACGTAATCGACGCTTTAGAGCTGTCAGACTGTCGCGACAAGCTGATCGGTGGCGGCATTTCTCTGCGTGGGGTCACGCCAGGAGAACGCAAGCTCCTCGCGATTGCGACGGCTCTTTTAACGAACCCATCGGTCCTGCTCGTGGAAGAGCCGACACACGGCCTCGACACGTTCAGCGCCGAGAAGATCGTGGCTAAACTACGCTGGCTAGCGTTCGAGAAGGGTCTGACTGTGGCCACGACGCTGCATCACCCGTCCTCGCACTTCTATGGCCTCTTCGACGTCTTGTATCTCGTTGCGGAAGGCTGCTGTGTGTACGATGGCAAGGCTGCGGATGCGGTCGCCTACTTCTCGACGATCGGGTATCCGTGTCCGGAATACACAAGTCCCATGGACTATTTCATGCTCCAGATGGTCGTCGCAGACCGCGAGTCGGACGATGTCGGCGTGGCTCGTGTTGACTTATTGAAGCGTGAGTGGAGCGAGCGCAATGCTGCGGCGTATGCTGATAACAAGGCACGCGCTGCAGCGGCCAAGGAGCAGAACGTTGTGGACTTCTACGAGGAGGAAAACCGGTATTACCACATGAGTTGTTGCGGTCAGTTGTGGCTGCTTTGGACGCGTCACGTTCGTCGGCTCTCTCGCTATACGTTCGTCTTCTGGTGGCATCTACTCGCTGCCTTGTTGGTGGGCGTCGTCTTTGGGCTCGTGTACTTGCAACTGGATGTGGACGACCAGAACGGTATCCAAAACTTTTCTGGCTGTTTCTTCTACCTGGTGGTGATCCAGATGCTACTCAGTGCATGTAGAGCGTTTGTCTTCCTTCCCAGAGAGACAGCGATCGCACTGCGGGAACGACAAGAGTATCGAGGAGCTTGGTACCCGTTCTTGTGCTGGTACTGGACCAAGCTCGTCGCGGAACTCCCGGCTCTGCTTGTTCTGTCGGTAACCGGTTTCGTACCGGTATTTCTACTCGTTGGGATCGGTCACGGCTTCAAGGTGTACGTGTACATGCAGCTCGTGCTGCTTCTTGCCGGTTGGGCTGCGACCTGCTTGGCCTTCCTCACGCTGGGAGCTCTCCGCCATGTCACGCTTGCTCTCATGGTGTACGCGGCGTTGCTGACGCTCTTCGCGGCCTTCGGAGGGCTCCTGATCAATGTGACAGACATTCCGGACTGGCTCGCGTGGCTGCACTACATTTCCCCCGTCAAATACGCGTACGAAGCCATGATGAAGATCTTCTGGAAGCGTGTGGGCTCCATCGACTGTGACTGGACATTAGACGGCTGTGTGGCGCTCTCGGGCGACGCAGTATTGGAATTCTACAGCATGGAGACACGGTCCGTGCTGGGAGATACCTTGATCCTGATTGCTATCTGTTGCGCGCTTTACTTCGTGGCCTTCGGACTGCTGTTGATGCTGGCGAACAAACGTGTTAGTGGTCTGCAGTGGCGATACGACTGGACGTTCAAGGGCCTACTGGGTAGTCCACAGCAGCGTGTAGAGCGCACTACTCAGAGCGAGAAACACGCAGTCACACGTAGCAGTATGCAGCGAGTTATTGAGCGCAAGAGCCGCCACAGTACGTCGACAGCAGGCGACAACTGCTACATTCAAGTGGAGACTCCGCGTGTCGGAGGACGAGACGTCAGTGACGTTGCTAGCATCACACTCGGGTGGAACAGCTTGTCACTCAAGACACAGACGCATAGTGAGAGCAAGTGTCTCCTTAGGGACGCCAGTGGATCAGCTACCAGCGGTGAGCTGCTGCTGATCACGGGGCCTTCAGACGCGTCCAACGTGGCGTTGTTGCAGACTCTTGGAGGTCTCCAGACGAGTCTGAAGGGCGACGTGACGCTGAACGGCGTCGCCAGCTCTTCTCAGAAGCTTGTAGCACACGCAGCGTACGTCGCGCGCAAGGATCTGTTCTACGAGACGTTGACAGTGGAGGAACACATGCATTTCCACGCTCAACTGGCTGTGGGCAGCTCGCGTGCTGGTTGTTGTGGTGCGAGTGCAGAGCTGGTTCTGGAGCGTGTGGAGATGATTCTGGACGAGTGCGAGTTGGCCTTTAAGCGCCACATGCTCATCCGCTACCTGTCGGCTGCTGACGTGAAGCTGCTGGCCATTGCGACGGCTTTGTTGAGTGATCCGTCCATCTTACTGGCCGAGGAACCCACGAGGGGTATGGACTTCTACGCGTCGCAACGTGTTGTACTCAAGCTGCGTCAACTGGCTCGTGGAGGACGCACCGTTGCAGTGACAATGACGCATCCGTCCTCTCATCTGTACGCTCTCTTCGACGCCATGTGTCTTGTCGCGGATGGAGCCACAGTGTACAATGGTACAGTGAGGGAAGCCGTGCCGTACTTCGCCTCCTTAGGCTACCAGTGTCCGCAGTACATGAGTCCAGTGGACTACTTCATGCGTCTAGTATCGGACGGACAGGCGACGTTGTTTAAGGAATGCTGGGCGACTCACTACTCGACGTCGAGTGTGGCGCACTCGGAGCACGAGGCAGATCCGGAAACTGCGACGTGTAGACGCCGCCTGGACATGTGCAGCCAGTTGTCGCTGCTGTTCCGTCGTCACGTCCTCCGTCTGATGCGCTACCGTGTTGTCTTCGGCTGGCACGCGTTCTGGATGATCATTGTGGGGGTCGCTGTCGGTCTTATCTTCTTGCAACTGGATCTAGACGACCAAAAGGACATTCGGAACTGGGCCGGCGCCTTCTTCTTCCTCGTCGTGCTGCAGATGCTGGCGCTCGCGTACCGAACGTTTGTGTTCCTACCGACTGAGATGGCGGTCGCGCAACGGGAGCATCGCGTGGGTGGCTACTACATGGCGTGTTGGTACGTGACCAAGGTGTTGGCTGAGCTGCCGGCACTACTGGTGCTGTCCGTCCTGCTCTTTGTGCCGGCGTATCTGCTCATCGGCATCGGACACGGCTTCAAGTTGTACTTGTACATGCAGATGGTCATGTGGCTGGCTGGTTGGAGTGCTGCTGGTATGGCTAGTCTACTGCTGGGACTCCTACGACGTGTACGCGTGGCTCTGTTCGTCTATATGCTGCTGTTGGTCCTCTTCGTGGCCTTCGGAGGCCTGCTGATCAACGTGGACGACGTACCGGACTATTTCATCTGGCTGCACTATATTCTCCAGTTAAGTACGGATATGAGGCAATGATGAAGCTCTTCTGGGGTCGCATTGGCTTCCTCGCTTGCGGAGGTGGCGACGGAAGTGGGAGCGGGAGCGCTACATTTGCTACTGTGGGTGACGACTACTCGTTCAGCATGTCGGGGTCTGGATCGTTTGAGGACGACGACGGCTGCATTGCGCACTCGGGGGATGAAGTGCTCTCGCACTACAGCATGGACAACTCTCGCAGTGCGCGTAGTGACAGCCTTATTCTGCTGGAGCTGACGGTACTGTTCTTCTTCGTTGGCTACGTGTTTCTATCGCTGCGCTGGCGTCGAAACAAAACTCTACTGATATATTTTGGATAAATGCGTACTCAACTTTAAAATAAGTACCTCGAAGTAATAATACTTAAATGAATTGTGGTTAGTTTACGAGGAACCAATTGCAAAACTTCTACTATTGTTTGTCGGAATTGAGAAGCGCTTCTTTCCAATTCCGTGATAACCACGTTCGTCTTGGAAGTTATTGTATCTTCTCGCCGCACCAGCTCCACCTCCAATCTTGATGTTAACACTTCATTTAGCCCCCCCCCTTTCGTAGTGTGTTTCACCCGATCAGCATCTTCTGGCTATTTATTACCTGCTCTACTGCCCCCGTGTTTCGCCCGATCAACATCTTCAGGTAGATAACCCCCTTCTTACAAATTAGGTGGTGTCGGACTTTTGTCTTACGAAAAATGTCGTTTTTTTCTTTTATTTATTAGAAAACACGACCCCAGCGCAGCTGAAGTGCGCGACATGAGACCTTTCTCGGTGTACAGTTCTCGAAAAAGACCAGTTGCAGAATCGGTCCGTCCTGATAT